CGAAATATTTGTCTCCTTTCCCCAAAAGCCGTGTTAAATCCAAATGCCCTGGCTCAAGTCTGTAATCCTAGCTACTTGGGGATCCTAGCAGGAATAAAAAGAGTCCTGGTTGGAGGCCATCTGGGGCAAAAAGTTCATGAGACCCCATCTTAACCAGTGGTTGGCATGCACCTGTCATCCCAGCTACATGGGGAAACACAAATAGGAGGATTGTGGTCCAGGTATAAAGTGAGATCCTATCTCAAAAATAGCCAATGACAAAAAGGATGGTTGAGTGGCTCAAGTGGCAGAGCACCTGCCTAACAAGAGTGAGGTCCTGAGTTGGACCCTGGTACCACAAAAGAAGAAGGAGGGAGAGGAGGAGGAAGAGGAGGAGGGAGAGAAGGGGGAAGGAGAAGGAGAAGAGGGGAAGAGAGGAGGAGGAGGAGGAGTGGGGGTGGGTAGGGAGGGGAGGGGAGGAGGGGAAGGAATCCACCTAACATGAGGAGGTAGATCCTGTTGCTTTACACCTGAGGCTTTCAGCTCTCATCAGATTTTGCAGCCATCCTCTTCTCAGCCTCAAAGCGGGGGATGACTGTTTACATTCCGTCTGTCCTTTCTCTTGAGCAGATGAAAGAAAGGCAGTTCACAAATGCCTACATTTTTAAAATAAGCTATTCTTATTATTATGATTTTTGAGGTCTCAGCCTTGTCAGTAGTTGGGGCTCCAGGTGTGCCAGCCACCCAGCTATCGCTAACACAAGGTTTTGTGGGTTTGGGAAGTACTGGGGATCAAACCCAGGCCTTGCACATGCTGGCCAAGCACTCTAAGCTATATCCTTGGCCTTATTCATGATTACTATCTTAATTGCATATACTTATGGCGTAATGATCAAGTCATAACAGTTAGCATTTTCATCCCCTTAGAGTTTTTTTTTAATTGTTTTGTTTTTTTGAGACGGGCTCACTAGCTATCCCAGGCTGGCCTCCAACACTTGATTGTCCTGCCTCTGCCCCCTACTGCTGAGCTCTCCTTAAGTTAAAAGCAAATTTTGATATTTGAGTACTAAAAAGAGTTGATTGGAATGTTTGCTGTTGGTCCCTGGAGGTTGGATTATGGGTACCAAGTCCAGATAGAAGAAATTCTAGTGTTCTGCAGCACAGTGGACCTCAGCGACCTTCACAGAAACCTGTTATGTATTTTACAAAGGACTGGAAGAGAGGAACTCGAAGGAAATGTTGATCACCCTGAGTTGACCAGTACCCGCTGTGTACGTGTGTTGAAATGTCACACTACCTCATCAGGGCCTCATTGTATGTGGTAAGGTAGGTGCAATACCTATGTCATTTCCAGCCTGCCCCTCAACCCCATCACACATGCTTTTTTTTTTTTTTTCATTTTTCTTTTATTATTCATATGTGCATACAAGGCTTGGTTCATTTCTCCCCCCTGCCCCCACCCCCTCCCTTACCACCCACTCCACCCCCTCCCGTTCACCCCCCTCAATACCCAGCAGAAACTATTTTGCCCTTATCTCTAATTTTGTTGTAGAGAGAGTATAAGCAATAATAGGAAGGAACAAGGGGTTTTGCTGGTTGAGATAAGGATAGCTATACAGGGCATTGACTCACATTGATTTCCTGTGCGTGGGTGTTACCTTCTAGGTTAATTCTTTTTGATCTCACCTTTTCTCTAGTACCTGGTCCCCTTTTCCTATTGGCCTCAGTTGCTTTTAAGGTATCTGCTTTAGTTTCTCTGCGTTAAGGGCAACAAATGCTAGCTAGTTTTTTAGGTGTCTTACCTATCCTCACCCCTCCCTTGTGTGCTCTCGCTTTTATCATGTGCTCATAGTCCAATCCCCTTGTTGTGTTTGCCCTTGATCTAATGTCCACATATGAGGGAGAACATACGATTTTTGGTCTTTTGGGCCAGGCTAACCTCACTCAGAATGATGTTCTCCAATTCCATCCATTTACCAGCGAATGATAACATTTCGTTCTTCTTCATGGCTGCATAAAATTCCATTGTGTATAGATACCACATTTTCTTAATCCATTCGTCAGTGCTGGGGCATCTTGGCTGTTTCCATAACTTGGCTATTGTGAATAGTGCCGCAATAAACATGGATGTGCAGGTGCCTCTGGAGTAACAGTCTTTTGGGTATATCCCCAAGAGTGGTATTGCTGGATCAAATGGTAGATCGATGTCCAGCTTTTTAAGTAGCCTCCAAATTTTTTTCCAGAGTGGTTGTACTAGTCTACATTCCCACCAACAGTCACACATGCTTCTTAAAGCAGCAGGTGAAATCTGACCTTGGAGATCTGACAGGTAAGAGCCTAGCTGCTCAAGTTGAAAGAATAACATGCCTGCCACCTTCTACACAGTGTCTGGAACAGCTCCATGAGCTACTGCACCTGAGCTTGGAACACTGGCATGGAACAATCCTTACATTTTCCTCCCAGAAAATGTATGTCCAGTGAATTAAAGTGACACATTTGTATTCACACTGGCCAGAAACACTTCTTAACCTCCTTTCTTTTAAAAGTGGTACTCTAAGGTACTGTGTCTCACACTGTTTTGCTTTTAAATGTTTGCAGGCATTAAACCTAAGTGTGTTCCCAAAGGACTCTCTTCATTTCTCAGGAAGGGAACCATCACATACTGTGGGAACTTGCCTTGAACTTCTGGAAAAGTAGAACATGCACTTCTGTGTGTTTACAACAGTGCACCGGGCATTCTGCTGACGCATTTAAGTATTTAGTTTTTTGGGGGGCAGTACTGGGGTTTGAACTCAGGCCTGGCACTTGCTACGCAGATGCTCTACCACTGAAGCCACAACCCCAGAACCCACTCAGGAGCAAGGAGCCTGTCTCACTGTACTGACTGAACATCTGCATTCAGAAGGCCTGGCTTTTCCACATTCTGCAGGAACTGGGTGGCCCCTCAGGTCCTGTTCCAGGGAAACTGATTGTGATTTTCTGAAAGAGTAATCGAGCAGTTTTCACTTAGTTGCCTTCTCTAGAAAATGTGTCTTCCTATTTCAGAGGCCTCTCACTTTTCTTTTACACTTTTCATGATATGGTGTTTATTCCATCTAAATGTTTTCTCACAAAGGGTAGAAATTGTTTCGAGTCATTTTATAAAAAATAAAATAAATTAAGAGTTATTTTATGTATGTTCTCACATTAAGTTAAATAAGCCAGACTCAAAGACTGCATGTTTTCTCCTACATATGGAATCTAGACCTAAAAAACAATGATATAAATGTAATAAGGGGACTTTTGGAGGAGTGTGAACCCGTGGGAGGGGGAGGGAAAAAGGAAGGGTGATGGGGTGAATCTGATCAAAGCACATTATATACATGTATGGAAATGTCTAAATGAACCTCTTTTGTAAAATTTATATAGGCTTTAAAAAAGGTTGTTTCATGGCTGGGCATAGCGTTACACAGCTGTAATCTCAGTACTCAGAAGTCTGAGGCAGGAGGACCCAGAGTTCCAGGCCTTCCTGGGCTATATAGTGAGACACTATCTCAAAGAGAAAAAAAAAATGGTCATTTTGTCTTTTCTTTCTTTTTTTTTCTTCCCTTTGATAAAACCACCTTCCCTTCCCTTCTTTCATCCTCCACTGGAGGATGTTGCAACATGGTGCAACACAGTGACATCAGTGTCCACCCGCTGTAATAAGTGATAATGACTGCCATTTGCTGAGAGCAGTAACAAACCCATGGACTTCTTCAGAGATTGGTTATTTCAACTCTTGGAAGAAAAATGGAGGTTCTGATGCAGAGTGATGATAGTAAGTCATCTAGGACAAGAACCCATCCATCCATCCATCCATCTATTCACCCACCCACCTGTCCATCCATCCACTCATCCATCTATCCATCCATCCATCCACCCACCCGCCCACCCATCCATCCACCCATCCATCCATCCATCTACCCATCCACCTATCCACCCATCTATTCATCCATCTGCCTATCCACCCGTCCTTCCATCCATCCATCCATTAACCCATCCATCTGACAAATATGAAGAATTCCCCTGCCCCAGGAGCAGAGGGCGGCCCAGACTGTAAAGAGGCCCCTTCACAATGGTTCTGTCTAGGCAGAGCACAGGTGTCCGAGAGCACCAGCTCCAGGTGACCAAGGTTGACCAGGGAAGGCCTCAGACTGGACATTGAGGAGCTGCCTTCATTCTTGAGGTAGAGCTGGGAGGCAGCCATCCTTATGGAGGAAATGGCAACAGAGAAGCTGCAGGCGTGAGGACAGGAAAGGGCTGGTCACAGCCCTGACTTCCGAGTGCTGGAGATGGACCTGGGAAAATGGTCACAGAGACTTGAGTGCCAGACTGAGAAACTGTGGGCATTGGAAGTTCCTGGCAGCTGTCAGCAGGGCAGTGACCGTGCCTGCTCTGCTAGCTGCACCTGGGAGTGGTGAGTCGGGTAGGAAGATGCCACAGTGGGAACGGTTCATGAAAATGTAGATGGAGTGTGGAAAGGACTGGCTGTGGGGTGAACGAGGGGATGCTAGGGATGCTGTTCACGTTGAAATGATGGTTACGCCCTTGACCTAGGTAAGAGACTGAGCCAATGAGTTGCCTTTCAAATGCGCCTGCTAAAAGTTTCTTGTGTCTCCTGGGCACCCAGAAGAAAGGCCTGGGCCAAAAAGGAGTGATTCCCATAGGACAGAGTTCATTAGGGCACACAAGACCCTTTGGAGTCAGGTATGACGTCAGCACTGGCCTTGCTTTACTTGGACCCCCTCCTTTCCTTCTTCCCTCCCTTTTCACAGGAGCTGAAGTGGGGCTTGGGGTGGAGCTCAGTGGTACGATGTGCTTAGCATGTACAAGGGCTCTGGGTTTGAGCCCCAGCACCAAATAAATAAACAAAATTGCTGAAGCTTGGAGTTGGAAATGACTTTAAAGTGACAGCAGCCACACTTGTAGAAGCCCTTGTCCTTCCCCTCTGTTATTATCCATGCATCGGTGGCAATGGCCTTTCCATGTGATTCTGAGCCTCACACCTGCAGGTCCTTGGGCTCCTCTGGATTTAGCTTCATCAGTTTGGTCACACAGAGCAGGATGAGGGTGAGAAACCAGAGGCTCCAGCCCACGGCCGCTGCAATCCAGCCGTATTCATCCACTCCAACGTGACAACACTGGGCTGCTTGGGGGCAGAAATCAACATCTGGTGGGGAAGAGAGAGCAAGAATGACAGGACGCATCATGCCAGCCCTGCCCAGTTCTCGTTCTAAAACCAGTACGAACATGAACAATACATAACTGACTTTTATAAGCACCTGCTACATGCTGTGCACTGTACTAATGTGGAACACATGTCACCTTCCACAGTTCTCACGAGATGACAGGCATTTATTATTATTATTATTATTATTATTATTATTATTATTATTATTTTGGTGCTGGGGACTGAACTCAAGGGGCCGGCCTCAAGTGTGCATGTACTCTACCACTGAGCTACTCCTCCAGCCCTGTGATAAGTGGAATTATTTCAATTTCATGTGAAGAAACTGGGGCCATAACTTATCCATGGTCCCAGGATGGCAAAAGTAGAACTCAAACCTCAGCCTGCAAGACTCCAAAGCCAAGACTCAAAGATTCTCAGCCTCTACATGTTATTACCCATTGCCCTTCTTTGTAGGTACCCAAAAGTAAATCCATTTGGTCATTCTCTGATAAAGGGGCCACACTTATAATGAAGCAAAACTTTCTACTGGGTAGACATGAGTAACGGTGATTGCTTTGTGATCTCTCAGCTCTGGAAACGAATATTCAAGTATGGGATGAACAGAAATATGTGAAGGGTATAAAACTGAGCTCCTGCCTCATCGGGCAGAAGTTGGGCTAGCTGATTTTGATGTACTTCTGCTTCTACAGGCATTTGTACCCACCCAACCAGGGGATGGCTCATTAAAGCCACCCATGTCGAAGACATAGATTAGGATGAATGCCAAGAGAACTTATAGACTTGCTCTGCAAACAGTGCTGAGACCAGTCATCCCAGTGCCCAGAAAGGCCTGGCAGTCACTCAGCCACCTGACACCAATCAGCAGACAGCAAGAGGTTAATTTTCCTCCAGCTCCAGGGTGCTTGAGGTGAGGGCAGTTGGCAGGGGAGCTTACTGGGGCACTGCTCCAGGGTCCCCAGGTCTGGGTGGTGGGCAGTCAAGGTTGAGTTGCTGCTCTTTCTGGCTTCTGAAAGAAAAGATGGGAGAGAGTCTCAAGCAGCAGGAAAAGCCATTCCTAGGCCTACAGTTTGAAATCTATGAAGGTGTTATAGAATTTCCATATTGAAGCTTTATTTGCAAAGCTAACTTCCTTTATGGACTGCATTGTGCCCCCGCATTCATATGTTGAAGCCCTAACCCCCAAAGTGACTGAATTTGGAGGTAGAGCCTTTAAAGAAGTAATTAAGGAGCCAGGCATTGTGGTACACACCTGTAATCCCAGCACCCAGGAGGTTGAGGCAGAAAGATAGAGTTCAAGGCCAGCCTGGGCTATATAGTGAGGCTCCATCTCAAAAAACCAACAAAACAAAACACTTACTTTTTAGTAACTAAGGTTAGGGCTGGGGGAATACTCAAGTGGTAGAGCCTTTGCCTAGCAAACTTGAGGTCCTGGGTTCAATTCCCAGTACCTCTCCCCCCACAAAAAAAGAAAGTAATTAAGGTTAACTGATGTCATATGGGCGGGTCCTAATCCAATGTGACTAGTGTCTTCCTCAGAGAAGGAGGAGACACCTGTGATACATAGGTGTGGAAAAGGTAAGGCGAGGACACAGTGAGAAGGAGGTCAACTGAAACCCAAGGAGGGAGGCCCCAAGGGAACCAAATCAAACGTGTGACACGTGACCTTGGAGTTCCAGCCTCCAGAACTGAGAGAAAATAAATTTCTGTTGTTTAAGCCACCCAGGCTGTGGCATTTGTCTTGGCAGCGTGGTCAAAGGAATAAGTGGACTTTCTTTCTTATCGCTGTATTTGCATTCAGAGATTCAGGTAGCCTTTGCTTACCAAGGGTCTGCTATGCAGAGCTGTCCTAACGCTCTTTTACCTGCTTTCCACGAGGGTAGATGTAGCTATAAAATGGCCTTTCCGGTATTTTTTTGAAATGATCACTGAAAACTCTAAGAATGTTTTCTCATAAGCAATTTCTTTCCAAAACTTGAACAAATAAACATTGAAATCTGACCCTGATTCTTTATCTCTGATGGTTGTGATGTTGTCACCCAGGCACATGGCATCAATAAAAATTACACACCATCTAGGCAAGTTCTGGAACACTGCCACCACTAATGAACTTGCATGGTCACATAAGCCTTTAAGCTCAGTACTTAGGAAGCAGAGGCAGGAGGAGCTCAAGTTCTAGACCAGCATTGGGCTGCATCGGGAGACCCTCTCTAGAACACAAAGCGAAATGAAAATTCTACTATTAGCACTAATGCTAACCTAGGTAACTCAAAAACCAAGACACTGATTTTGAAGAACTCGAGAAATTATATTGCTGTTCAGTCTGCTTCCTTGGGAAGAGAGAAAGGGAGAGAGAAAAGGAAGGAAAGAAGGAAGGAAGGAAGGAAGGAAAATCTCAGCATCTACTGCCTGTGGGTCAGCGTGTCCTTCAAAGGAGCTTGTTGACACAGCAGGACAAGTAAGGAAGAAAGCTGTTGTTTAGCCAAAGCCATGAAATTTTGCTCAGACTAATTTTATGCTACCCAATCCTGAAGCCACTGCTTCAGGTATGGTAATGACCTTGGTGCAATCTGATTGTTACTGTAAATTATTTACAGTGAAATGGCTTAGAGCTCCATCTTTGTTTTGGAGAAACTGATCCTCTGACATTTAAATTTTCCTCTTAAACCAGATAACTTCTTCAGCCCTGACTTTCCTCTCCCCTCTACACTTAGAACCATAATGTTCTCCCAGAGGAAGTGAGTGGGGGGAAAAAACCCCTAGGGAACTAGATGCTAGTATTAGGTTAAATCATATGAAATTATCATTTTTATAGGCCAAAAGTCATTCCATCTGAGTGTCTTCATATAGTCCAAATGGAATAGTCCAGGTGAAAACTCCTCTTTTATAAGCTGAGCCAGCCAGGGAGCCCACTTGGGAAGACCCCATAGTTTAGTGCAGTTACTTTGTTTATGGCTTTGAGCCCCTCCCCTAGGCAAGGCACTGTGAGGGTGAGCAGAAAAAAACACCCGTACCTGGGGGGAGGTGGAGTTGGGAAATCAGACAAACTCGCTGACCGTGATTGTGATTGCTAACGTTCATTGCCTGCTTACCACGTGCCACGTGCTGTTTTATTGTAAATTCATTGTCAGTTCATGTCCTCTTTACAAAGAGCCCTACAAATGAGCACCGTTTATCCCTGTGTTATAAGTGAGGAGCCTGGGGCACAGACAGTGGAAGTAATTTGGTCAAGGTGGCACAGTAGTAAATTGGGAAGCTGGAGTGGAACTGAGGCTTGGTGGTTTTGAGAACTGTCACATTGAGCTGCCTGGCAGGGGCTACAGGAGAGACTGAGGATGACAGAGACAGATACAGTCTTATTGGGGAACAGGAGAAGAGGAGGGGAAGCTTGAGAGGAGTAGAGTGTGTCAGGAAGCAAGGAAGACAGGGCTCTGAGGCACCTCAGGACAAGGTCAAAGCCAGAAGCAGGAGAGCGTAAGCGAGGTCCCAATCTGGTGAGATGCAGGGCTCAGCCTGGGAGAGAAGGACAGAAGACGGTGGGGGCGGGAGAAGTGAAGGTGGGGAGTGGGGGTGGGGAAGTGAGAACCCTAGGAAGGCCAGAGAATGGTAGGCTTCAGGAAGGGGGGAGAGGATGTCCTCGGGTCAGGGGGACAAGGAAGGCAGAGAAGGGAAGGTGAGGCCCAAAGGTGTACAAGGATTACCCAGAGAAGCTGAGAGAAGCCACAGGGAAACAGACAAATACCACTTTAGACCAATTTGGTCCTCTGATGGGGGAGATTCTGGCAAATTCCTTTTTTTTTTTTTTTTTTTTTTGTGGCACAGATCAACAGAGGTGCCGCTTCTGTCCTAGCCAAGGAGTTAGTTGAGTCTTTGAACTTGGTCTTGGGCAAACCTAAGACACCCCACTCCTACCCCCCGCCCTGCCTAATCCTTCAGATGGAAAGATTGTTTCCTCTTTCCTTTGTGCAGGACCAACCCTGGCCAAGGAATCCTCCCCTCCCTCCTGCCCTCCCTTTCCCTGCGTGGCCAAGGAGAAAGCTCAAAACCCTACCTGCCCAGTGAGCCGAGTGGAGGGAGGCGAAGACCAGGCTGAGGAGCAGGGCGGCCCTTGCGGCAGAGGTGAGGCTCTGTGCACTGCACAGGGAGGCGCCTGGCTGGGCCATGGCAGCGCAGGGGGACCTGGGACCAGGGGCCATGTTGTCTGTGTGCCAGGTGTGGTTGAGGTGACTTCTGTCCTGCAGGAGCTGGGAAACTGCTTGGTGTTGGGGGAAAAGAGGGGCGGAGCTGAGGAAACTTCACCTGTCACGCCTGCTCTCACCTGTCTCTGATGAGAGGAGAGGAGAGGCCAGTCACGAGAAGAAAGAGGAGGGCAGGAGAGGGGGCCCTCCTCTCTCCAGGGTTCCTGCCGGCCCTGGAGATGACTTCGCTGCCTCTTCAGTCCAGTATTAAGCAAGCACCTACTCTGTGCACGGCTCTATGCTAGAAAGTTTGCGAACACTTGCCTTCAAAATGCTTCAGTTACCATCACTAAACCGCACAGCAGTGTTCCGGAATGGCTGGGGAAGGAAGCAAGTACTTTGAGTCCCAGCAGGGAGAGGCCACAGGGCTGGTGAGATGCTTTGTGAAGAAACAGGTTGGCCTTGGGCCTGGAAGCACGTGATTCTGATAGGCAGGGAGAAGAGGGCACTCTAGGTAGGAGGGATGGAGAGCCAGGCCCAGAGATAAATGGTGCTTGGTGATCCAGTGGGACCAACTGCAGCACAGATAAGTGGTGGTACTGAGGACAGGGAGGAGTGGAGGAGAGCCTTGGACGGTCAGGAGGCTGAGCTCCTGTGTGTGGGCTGGGGAGTCTGAAGCAAGTCAGGAAGCAAAAGGGTGGAGGGCTTTGTGAACTGAGTTTAACTTCATTGGAGAGCTGCATCGTCTAACAGTTTTTCTTTTTGTGGCACTGGGGTTTGAACTCAGGGCCTCACACTTGCTAGGCAGGTGCTCTACCACTTGAGCCACTCCACCAGCTCTTTGCCTTTATTCTAAAGCATTTACAAAGGGCTGGGGGTGTGGCCAAGTGGTAGAACACCTGCCTAGCAATCTCAAGGCCCTGAGTTCAAACCCCAATACTGTCAAAAAAGACAAAACAAACAAAAATTCTCAGTAGTCTCCTCTATCCATAGGGGCTACATTCCAAGACTCCCAGAGGATGTCTGAAACTGTGGACAGTGCTGAGCCATACACATACACACACACACACACATATACACACACATGAATATGTATTTACAACATACGTGTTCTATATGCATATTTATGCTGTATTTTTTCCTAGAAATACCTATGACATAAACATATCTATGATAAAGTTTAATTTATAAACCATTTACAGAAAGAGATTAACAGTGTAACTAATAATAAAACAGCAATTATAGTAATAAAAATATTTAAAACTTATGAATAATTTATTTCTGGAATTTTCCATCTAAAATTTTTGGACTGCAGTTGAAACTGCAGGAAGTAAAAGGGAAAGAAAGGGGGAGCTACGGCTAATACTGAGCACTCACCATGTGTATGAAAGGCATCAGCCTAGGCGTTGAGATACACAGGTGACTGAGACATCCCTGCCCTTGGAAGAGCACAGTCGGGCAGTAAGACCAAGCAGGGAAGAAAAAATTCTTTTATTTATTTATTTATTTTGCAGTACTGAGGTTTGAACTCAGGGCCTTCACCTTGAGCCACTCCACCAGCTCTTTTTTGTGGTTTTTCAGAGATAGGGTCTCCCAAACTATCTTCCTGGGGCTGGCTTTGAACTACAATCCTCCTGATCGCTACCTCCTATGTAGCTAGGATTACAGGTGTGACCCACTGGCACCTGGCTGGAAGAAAGAATTCTGATGCAGTATGGCAAGACTCAAATCTGGGCATCCCCCACAGACAGAGGAATAGAAAAGAGGGAGTGATGGATTTTGCCTGAGGGGTACAGGGGACAAATTCACGGAGAAAGTGACATTGGGCTGGGTACTGAAGTCTGTATGGCCAGGGGGAGTGAGCAGGCTCTCCAGGACAAGGCCTGGTGGTTGTCTTCCTGGGACAGGCCTGCCACTCATGGGTCTGTGCATTGCGTTCTTCCACATGATGAGCTGGTGAGGGTGAGGGATGGGGTCCAGCTCATTCGAAGCTGCTACATGCCAGGTCCTGTTGTACTTTGGAAGACCAGAGGAGGTATGTTCTTCTAAGTTCTCCAAAGGTTCAGATGAGCTGTGGCCCTGTGTTCCAGGATTTGGGGGTAGGGCAGACACGCTTTCAGGTTGTACACAAAAGTCCAGAATAGGCCACTTGCTGACTGGACACTCACCAATGGCCAAGTAACCACTGAAGTCCCTGCCAGGCCTTCAGTGAGGGGTGCTGAGGTAAGCAAGACATCTTTAAGTGAGTAAGTCCTCATTCTCAAGGAGCAAAGATGGATAGATAGCGACATTCCAATGAACGAAGTTCATTGAGAAGGTGTCTGCAAAGCATGGGTGATCATGGAAGAAGCTTGGGGACTAAGGAGTTCGGAAGCATTTTACAATGGAGGTAGCAGTGTGTGTGTGGGGGGCGGTACTGGAGCTTGAACTCAACACTCAAGGCCTTGTGTTTGCTGGACAGGCAGTCTATCACTTGAGCCATGCCCCTGGAGATGGCATTTTTGATCCAAAATTTAAAAGCCACATGTGTGGTGTGTGGTGACGTATACCTGTAATCTCAGCATTTGGGAGACAGAGGCAGCAGGATCTTGAGCTCTAGGTCAGCTTCAGCTACATAGCAAGACCCTATCTAAAAAAAAAATCTGGGTGTGGTGGTGTACACCTGTAATCCCAGCACGCAGGAGGCTGAAATAGAAGGATCACGAGTTCAAAGCCAGCCTACGTAGTGACACCCTGTCTCAGAAACAAACAAGCTGTGTATCTGATCAGGCCCAAAGAGAGTAGAATGTGGAGGGCAACAAGGCCTATATTCTCCCTGTCTGGGGAGTGGAGAGTAATTTACCAACCTGGGAACCCGTGGTGGGATCACAGGTTGGCCCATTCGTGTAAGAACAGATGTAAATGGTCCTGCATGTCAGACAAGGGGAACTGGGCTTTATCTTACGCATGGAACACCATTTATAAGGAACGTAGAGATGTGGCAGGCAAGATCTGAGAAGGCCTATGTGTAGGGAGACCACCTATGAAGCTATTGCAAAAGCCCCGTCAGAGATCACAGGGTGCTGAAACAAGAAGTTGGACTGAGGACAGGGAAGAGGGAAACAGAATCAAGAGGTGTGTAGGAGGCGTGGTGGTGCTCACCTGTAGTTCCAGTGCTTGGGAGGCTGAGGTGGGAGGGTTGTGAGTGTGGGCCAGCCAGGGCTACATAGCCAGACAATGTCTCAAAAAAAAAAAAAATGTAGAAGAGAATCCAGAAAAAGGCATTCAGAAAGGGACCCCAGTTTCTAGGGACCTGTCAGGGACCAAATTCCAGCCCTGACTCTTATTGGCCCTGGGCAAATTTCTTTTTTCTTTTTGGAGGGTAATTGGGATTTTGAACTCAGGACTTCACACTTGCTAGACAGGCACTCTACCACTTGAGTCACACCCCTAGGCCTTTTGGTTTGTTTGTTTTTAATTATTTTTCAGATAGGGTCTCATGTTTTTGCCTGGGTGGGCCTCAGACCTCAATCCCTACCTATACCTCCGTATAGCTGGGATTACAGATTATTTCTTCCATTTATTTTTTTGGTGGTACTGGAGTTTGAGCTCAGGGCCTGGTGCTTGCTAGACAGTCTTAGACAACTTTTTCTTTCCTTCCTTCCTTCCTTCCTTCCTTCCTTCCTTCCTTCCTTCCTTCCTTCCTTCCTTCCTTCCTTCCTTCCTTCCTTCCTTCCTTCCCTCCCTCCCTCCCTCCTTCTTTCTTTTTTCTTTCTTATTGTTGTGCTGGGTGGGGGCACATTGGCATTTATAAAAGTTCTTGCAATATTTCAGATATAGCATACTTGAGTTTACCCCCTCCACCATTCTCCTTTATCCCCCCTCCCCCATTCCTGGAATCATTTCAACAGGTCCCACTTTTTCATTTACATACATGTGTCCACAGTATTTGCACCATGTTTGCACTCCCACACCCATTCCCCACATCCTCCCCCCAACTGGTACCAACCACCCACACAGAATCTGTTCTGCCCTCCTGTTCTCCAGTTTTGTAAAAGGAAAAATAATGTCATTTTTGTTTGTTTAAGATAGTTACACAGGGAGTTTCCTTATGAGGTTTCCATGTATATATGTATTATAATCCGAATTGGTTCATCTTCTCTATTTTTAATGCATCCATGGCTCAGTTTCCTCATTTGGAAAGTGCTAGAATGATAGCACCTATCTCAGGAATGGGACGACTTGATGGCATATTCCAGGTAAAGCACTTGGTACAGCATGAGCAGGTGCTAAGGACTGAGTAACGGCGGGTGGTGTTAGGGAGGGACTACACTGTTCTTGTATGGACTGATTTATAGCCTTCCTTGGTCCACAGAGGATTTGGGGATGCTTACCTTCAATTAACTGAGCTGGATAATATAAATTTGAAATACGTGAAAGACATGAAGTGGAGAGAAATTTAGGGGAGGAAATAGAAAAATGGGCCCATGAGCGAGTATAGAGCCTAAAATGCCAGGTCTCCTCCTGAGCTTTCTGGTAGCCAGTGTGACGAGGGTCACAATCACATATGGATTCGTGGGATCAGAAAATAGAAGATAAGGAGAGACATGACTGCTCTTTTATTTTATTGTGTGTTACTGGGGATTGAACCCAGGGCCTGTGCTTGCTAGACAAGCCAGACATACCACTTGAGCTATGCCCCCAGCCTTTTTGTTTTTATTTTTGAGACATAGTCTTGCTAACTTTGCCTGGGCTGGCCTTGAACTCAAGGTCCTCCTGTCGTGAGCTGCCATTCTTGGTCTGATACTGTTAAGTAAAGAATTACAGGAGGCCATGATTTGGGGGCAGGCTCCTGCACTGAGCCCCAACAGATCAGAATACAAATCAACATGGAGACACTCATGTTAAGGTTCCATGTCACCAAACTGAAACTGTTTTAGCTGACCTCCCAAGAAATTATTGAGAGATAACAACCAAACTTCCCAGGCTGGCCAGTTTCAGTCTGGGTAATAATCACATTCCCTGTTTATCCTTGCTAA